ATGTATTACAGTGATTACAGCGAATGACTATTCGAGTCTTCTTGGAGTAGGAGACTCGATATGAGGAATTGTGACAGAAAATGTTATTTGTTGAGTGAGTGGTTCTCGCGTCGAGAGTCATACAAAGCGATCCCAATGAGCCGATAACATTTAAATAGGTTCAAAGTATTAATTTATTTCATATGACAGGCCTTTTGATAGCTATCATTAGCCAATTAGCTGACTTCGGGCTTCACAGAGGGAAGGTCCATCAAAGTAGCAGAAAGTTGAGAGTTGGGGAACAGAAGAGTGATTCACAGATGTAAAAGAGGCAGACAGACACAAAGGGAGAGAAAAAGGTAAGGTGAGTAGTGTGAAAGTGGTGGAATATGACATAGAGTGGGGTGATGGTAGCTTAAAGTCAGAAGTCAACTGCCGTATGAGTATACGTTGCTCAGGGTGCGCCACATGGAGGTTAGACTATCGCATCCCCCAAATTGGTTCAAAGTGGAATACGACAAAAAATACAGCTGTTGTGCATATGCCACCCTAAGAACTCTGCAGATGATAGTGATTTCTGTAGCTTTTATTTAAATGCATCAATTAAATTATTTTTGCCCCAACTTGTTTATGGTATAATAGTCAGACTTGCTTTCTTTCATTACAACAAGTGCAGAGAAGATAGCTAACAAGTTACTTTCAGAAAACGCATTAACAGGAGTGATTAATGATGCAAACAGTATTAGTGAATCAGGTTATAAGACGACGCATATGTCATATTCAGCTTAACGTTTTAAAAAGCTCTTTTAAAAATTACAATCTTACAATTAGAAATAGGCATGTGCTAACGATTCCCCGTTTCTGTAAAGCTAAGACAGATCATGTTTATTCGGCAACACTTTATATGCAAATATGGACGTTCTAGAGATATGGCTTTTCTTGAAAATAAATGAAACATTCATGGATGATATTAGATAAGTTTAATGATCGATTGCTCTGTCGTATACATGTGCATAGGCTTTTTATCCAACTAACAAGGCTGAAGTATTGATATGCGTATTACATAGAACACGAGCAGAAAAGGAAAGAATAGTATGAAAGGTAAGCACTTATGAGCATCGGATTCATGTCAGTTCTCACATCTAAACAACACGATCACCTGTAAGTTTAATTTAAGTAGTTGTGAAATGATTATGAGAGCCACTAAGACATGATAAAAATCATGTTTGGCAACGTTAAATAAAATGTAGAAAGATATTTAAAATAGCTTAAAACACTAATAATAGAATATTCCACTTAGTATTTTATAGTGACTCAATGGTTTAGAGTTAAATTAACACGACAAGGATTTATGTCTCAATTGCTGTTTGGGAATGGATTGAAGAGACTAGTTCATTTAAGTAGGACAGAAAGTACGCTCTAAGATGTGGAAATGGGTCAAATCGTGTGGTCTGAACTGAATGCTGGACTGGAATTTCACTAAAGAATGTAAGTAAACAGTTGACCTTGCAGCCATTTTAGTTTATGACATTCGAGCATTCTGGTGTATTCCACTGAAGGGTTAATTGTTGGAAAGCCTGTTTCCTACGAGATTTTACCTGCATTGGCTATGTTCTCTTTCTCTTTACGACGTTCAGACAATGATTCAAGCAATGATCCAGGCCAGGACACTTTAGATGTGATGAGATACAAGATAAATCTAAGTCATAATTCTTAGTCCGATACTACTAATTTTAGTTCGAAATTGTTTATTATTCGCCTTGCTTCACTTTTAAATAGCCTTGTGGCTACGCATCACATCCGTTCAACTTCACCACGGTCACCCTGTTGAGCATCCTCTCTTACCTCAATAGAACTCTCCAGCCGAACGATACTCTAACTCAGTAAGACTAAACAGTCGCTGAACTAATCAGCTGTCATTTATCCAATTATCTCATTTAAGCTCCATTGATCTGTGCAATAATACTGTGGAAACTTTTCTCATTAATTCATTCATTTTAGCTTCGGGGTTTAAATGATGTAATAATTACGAAATTAAGCATCCTTTAATAAAAAATTTTTTGTTGTAACATTATTCATACCCCCCCCCCTCATCTAAGCCTTATTAAAATTTTTAGCCTCTTTGTTGCTTCTAATAATCTTACCACTTTATTTATTTAATTTATTTCTTTAAAAAATTAAATAAATATCCATATGGTCAGTAGGCTAAGGGTATAAAGACAATTAGGTCATGAAATTGAACAAATAGCTCCCTGTTTATTGCTTAATATTCCCGTTTTGAGTGGCCTGAGCATGTACGACGTGGCATATCAAGCCCACTTGCTACTTGGGGAAATTGTGTGCGCAAGCTGAGAACGCAGTGAAGTGATTGGTCACTAATGCCAATGCCAACCTCAACGGCACTTTTTGATTGGTTCAAGCTAGGGGATCGATGCCTGTACTTAAAGTCTGCTCAAACCGTTCATTTCCATTTGTGTTGCTCCGTCGTAAGGTAGGTCTGCTTTATCTCGATTTTGTGAAGAATACTGCGAATTAACTACCATAATTTCCAATTCTAAATATAAAATTACCCAGCAAAATTAGTTGTTTCCAAGATTAGAATTTTCCTGAACTTTAAATATTGTGTAATTCTAATCATTATAAAATTATTGAAATTAAGAAACTAGTAAATTTGAGATTTCACTTTTTCTCTAATTTGGTTTGGTTATAGTAAGTGATCAGTTTTAGTGAAGCGTACATGCTTGAAGGCACGTACCAACTTAACCTAAACCTAGCACCACGAAATCTAAGAATCATATCAGGTAAAATACATTACTTCGTTGTGGGCACATTTATTAAATTCAAATATGAAATAATGCGATATCATTTTATTGCGCTGATAAAATAAATAACAATTACTTTTAATGGCCTTTATCCTTGTCCTGACGAATAGTAAGATTCAAGAGAACATATTTTTTGAATTTTGGGGAATAGGTACTGGAACAGAAAGGTCTTTATCATTTTCATATAAGGCGAGCATTCAGTCATTCAAGAAATAGTAACTGAGCAAATGTAATTGTCAAATAGTCTTTAAATTGTCAAATGGGTTTGGCGAAGGGCGTACATTGAAGTCTGATGCCAAGAGGTTTAGCTTATTTTACTACTTAATGATGCTACTCACTTTGAGTAGGGGTAGTGCCACAAAGCTCAAGTCTTTTAACTACATTCCTGTTATTTCGGACACGATGGAGGCAATATTCTTCAGAATAATGTCCTTAAAAAGGGACTGAACCGCTTTTCTTAGATATTTAAAATCTACACTAAATTCAAGACAACGGGTTTGAGGAAGTGAATTTCAGTTGGAGTATTATTCGCTCGACCGATAATTACCTTAAAATACATCCACGGCGGCATTAGACTGTTAGGGCGAAAGATAATGCAAATTTCCTTTTTAAACACTTTAGAGGAAGTGTTTTACTGTTGCTATTTGAAGATTCTGCTTTGACCTTCCAATTAACTGATAAGTTGGTCAGGAAAATAAAGCGTTGGCTAATGAACCTTTAAAAAAGTTTATATTGTCTGGAGGTTATTGTTTTTTATTCTTTTACTAGTTTTTAAGCTACTTTGAAAATTGGATTTAGTAGTAGTTTCAAAACAAGTAAGTTAAAGACATTTTGATACATAATGTACTTTTGATATGCGATCTTCCTTTAGATGGACGTTTTGCTGATCTTCTGTGTATTATCTTCTGCTCTCATTGTCCAGGGAAGCAATTACGATACCTTTTTAGCAGAGCTGGCACTTAGAAATCAAGAACATCACGAAAGATTCCGACGTGATTACCCAAATGGAGACTTAGTCCTGGATCATGTTTTTAATTCACCCGAGTTCCGCAGTATTCATCCTGTTCTTCTAGAATACGAAAACCCGGAGGATTTAGACGGTAAATAATTTGCAATTTATGATACTTAAGCGTATGTTTTACTCGTTAATATATCCCCTCACAAATAGCTAATGGAGTTGGCGACTCGTGGTCTCGTTTAATGGATAGTCTAGCGCACGCTGAGGAGACAGCACGTCACCCCGATCCGGAAGTAGCGGCGAAACGGATTTTCTCAAAGATTGCTGAAAATCCTATGAATAACACCCCGATTCGGACTACCCATCGCAGCGAGTATGCTCCACAAAATCATCTTTCAGGTACTCACGCGGTTTCTGGCGGCTCATCTGAAGATGGAAGCTGGATTGCTTATGCTATCTCCGGGGCTCTAGCTCAAGAAGATGATGATGATGATGAAGTAGAAGAAGAAGATATTTTGGAAGGAATGGCGGGTAGACCTCTTACTAATCACATTCATAAAGCTCAAGTGAAGACAGATAGACTTCCTGGGTACTGTGACCCACCTAACCCATGTGCTATTGGATACGATCCAGAATCATTTGCCACACCTTGCGATATGGGTATAGAGAATACGGAGGAGTTTAACAGACGATGGATTGTGGAGAAGATGAAGAGTGGGGAATGTACGTGTGATCGCGAACACATGTTTCGGTGTGAGAAGTATACTTCGCCAAAGCAACATTCTGGACCACCCAGTAAAGTAAGTGAAATTAAAAGAAACGTTAAAAATTTTCCCTATGATTTTCTGATCGGTAGTTGCTGGGGCAACTACGTAGTTTGAAGTTCACTTTTATGATTTAACTAGCACATTGTCTTTCTTGAAGTCGTTTAAGATTTATTATGTTGCATATTATTATTTTAATCTGGAACATGAGGACAGTAACTTTAACTCCAGATCAGTTTTAGATAAAAGGAGTTTTCAGCAATCATTTTGGAAAATGGTGCAATATCATGAGTCTTTTCTGTGCGAAAGCTACAATCATTCTCGATAAGCAAAGCCGTCTTATGAGCAATTCAATTGGGAGCTTCCCATTAGACCACTACGGGGTCTAATTCTCTTTGGTTTTCAACAGAATCTTACGAAATACATGAAAAAGATGTTTTGTTCTTTGAGTTTAAGGTACCTCTACTGTGGGTGAATTTTGCTTATAAAAGTACCTAAGAAAATAACACTGTGCGTGTCTGTATAAACAGATCTAATCCTACACCTGTACGGAACAATGTATCACTTTTGACGATTTCGGTAAAACTTGACAAAATTCAATCAGACACTGATAAATGTTATACTCAACTAATATCTCTAAATACTACCCTTACCCATTCGACAACTGAGTATTGTCATAACAATTTTAGTTCGAGTGGGAATCATAGTCAATTATTCATGTTATTATGTATTCTAATGTAAATTTCAAGTTGAAAAGAGAGAAGGCCTCCTTGAACTATCCTGGCAGCTTAGTATCAGTGTTTGCATTAGTAAGATGGACTTTTGAATCATAAGACAAGGACAATCTTGGTGACGTGCACACCAGTGGGCTTTTGCTTTCGTAGAGCATTCACTAAGTGTTCTAACCTCCTTTGTACACAATTTAAGAGCCAACTTGTGAAGGCATCCTTCTTTTCAAACCCATATCTTCGTGGACAAATGCGTTCGATGGAGGTGACCAAGAAAAGTAATCGAAATCGCGGATTTGGGGTAAAATCATCGTGTCATTATTTCAATTTCCAGATTTCACTATTGTTTTGGAGTTAATTCTGTAACTTCGCTTCTTTTTATTGCAGACTCGTCCAAATCCATTTGCCGAGGGAGAAAATTTGAAGAGCATTGTCAAGAAATCGGGTCCCCGTTTCATTCATGCGTGAATCCCTCTCCCCATGCAATAATTTGAATTACATTAATGCGTTATTTTGGTTACGTCGCAAACTGCTGTTAATTCACCTATTTGCATTCGCGTTTTGTCTCTTTGTCTCTGTCTCTCAAAGCATGTTTTCCGAGTATTGTCGAGGGTAAACATTGAATGGAAGATTATGATTTTCCGCTTGGTCTGATTTCTCATGAATACTAGTGGGGGGAGGGGGAATTGTTTTACTTTACACTTTAATCTAAATTTGCCGATCTTAATCACGTGGACTTTTCGTTTTTTAACCGATCGTTAGAAGCGCTTTATTTTAACAGGAGAGGAGAAAAGATTCGGTCTATGAAATTCCAAATATTTAGGAACACTGGTCAACTCGAAATAACATATGGTGTTATTATTGGCCAATTTATAATTCAATAACTTTGCCGAAATTCCCTGAGCAATGGAGATTTAATCCTTTAGAGAGTAGAATATCCATTGTTGATGCCTGATTGAAGTATGAGAATCCGGTTAAACAGAATACTGCTTTGGCAGGTCACCCGATTTGTATTCGACTTCACTCGTTTAAGCTTCCTTTATTTCATATCTGTCAATTGGCAAAGTCTTCTTAATGCGAACTTGATGTTGTTTTTCCTAAGACAAAGCCATTGAGTGATTTTTTGTATTTCAACTTCATAATCATGTGGTTCCACTATCTAATAGATCATTTTTCAGTACTTAAATTGTAAAGACAATACAATTAGAACTGCTTTTCACATCGCATACGTCTTTATTAATCGAATGAAAGGATTAATTATCTCAGTCGTTATTCAACACAGCCTTTTAGAGAAAGAACCGTTCCACAACTAGAGGGTAAACTTTGTTGGCTAAAGTAAATTTTGGTTTATTTGCATGTAATTTCCGGCTTTCTTTCTCATTGTAGCCTATTTTGAATGTCACACACATAAACCAAGACTAAGGTGAAATCCCCTATTTTGCAATTGTTTCCGAAATATATATCAAGGAAGCAGAGACTATAGTGTGAATAGCATCCATTTTAGATGCGTGACAGTGGCTTAGAGCTTAGTCGTTAAAATACAATTGAGGCTGAGTGGACCAGGGAGGGATTACTGATTGTGTTGGTTGACTGCGAAATCTTGACGCTCACGACTGCACTTGCACCCTAAGCGATCAGTAGCACTCTCGTACTTTCTTGGCAGCTCGAACATGCATCATGCTCCTTAGTTTAGCCATCGTTAGAGTTGTTCTTTCCACAAGCCTTCGTAATTTTTCACTTTAAGTTAATTTTACTCAGAGATTGTATTTTTGCGTAACCTCACAAAGTTACAAGTTGCAGCATCAGTTAGGACCTTACGTGTGACTTACTGATGTGGATTTAAATCGATCGACAGCAGTCTTTCCCTCAAATTTGGTACAATAATGTTCCCTTTCCTGGGGTGCGCGGTAGACTTACCCTCCTGTGGGGCATCCTGAGCAAAGTATACTCATACAGCAAATAAGTCTATTAACTGTCACTTGACTTCAAACTACCGTGATCCAACTATATGTCATATTCGACGACATCCACAGTACTCATCCTACTTTTTTCTATACTTTTGTGTCTGTCTCTTCTACATCTGTGGATCACTCTTCTATTCTCCCTCTTGAATCTTGTGATTTTGATGTTTTCCCTCTCTGTGAATCCCGAAGTCAGCTAGAGGGATTGGATACTTTCTATAAGGTCTGTCATTTGATATCTATCTATCCTTACTCCCTCCTCGCAGGGCTCTGAAGGCTAATTCCTTCTTTTTCATTTGCGTTAAATTCTTTATTTGTGGATCATGCTCTATCTATTGTTCCGATAATGTGTTTTTAATATTTGTGAGATTTGTCTTGGAAACGTTTCTTCACCCTAGCTCCCTTCGCCATAACTACCTTCTGCTAAATTGGAAATGCGATATTTGTGAGATTTCAACAGACATCTATTTCCGATGCAAATTCATAGCTTATTCCGTATGGACATTTGAATGTGTTGCTTTTCTTGGTTGCCACCACCATTTTATTCAATAGTAGCGCAGGACTAGAGTCAGCAGATGTTAGGGTCGCTACCTCAATAAGTTACACCAAAAGAAAAAATACTTGGCTTAATGCATTTTTTTTAAATTTTTTGCCAGCATAAATGGTCAAAAGGCAATGGATCGTTTGGAAAAGAAGAAGGTAAGTACTGTGTCTATAGACTAATTGAGTTCCCATGGAAAATTTATAGATATTTCAACATCATTTTACAAATTGAGAGCTTCTTTGTTTAAAGCATAAATGTAATAGACAAGGTGAAATTGAACAAAGTTATATAAAGATCTAAAGGAGTTTGAATGATGGGAAGATGTAACGAGTGAGCAAGGTTGAATTTAACGGAGTTATTCTATAATTCTGGTTTACCATGTGCTCAATTAATAGCCTTTTTAGCCTACAAAATTCAACATTGGATATTCAAATTGTTAGCTTAGCCTACTTCCAAAAACTCAGTAGCAACGCTATTGGTGACTTATGGGCGGTAAAGGTGCCTATTTAACTAAAATTAACCCAAATTTGGTCATTGTGTTTATTAGATAATCCTATTTCACGTAAACTTATCTAATTAAAAATATCATGTTAAGAAATTTAACTTATATTGCAGGCTACATTTATCAAAACGATTAGAACATAAAAAAGGCATGTTGGTGGTGGGGTCAAGAGGAGTGCTGATTTTAATTGGATAACATCAATTTTCCCACGTTTTCTGACTTCTAAATTCATCGCAATTTATCCAACTTGAGAGCTCATTTTGACCAAATACGATTTGATAAATATTTTGATGTTTATACTTTCTATATCAGTACCATTGAAGAATAATTTATTTATTTTCTTATTTCAATTTCATTTATTTGCTGCAAAACCATTTGATCAATAAAGAGACTGAATTATCTCAATCATTTCAACACAAAGAGTGTATGAATGATGATTAAAACTTAAATCGTTTTGGTGTGCTGTTAATAAGGAAAATAATTTAACACAAATGCAGCATTTTTGGCATTAATAACAACTCTGCAACGGTCATTTGGATTATTTACGTATTGATTGGTCAACTACAAAAGATAACCGACCAATCACAATTAAGTAGTTATTATAATAAGGATTAATCCTTTAAATTCATTTTTCTTCCAAAGGTGGAGAAAACAAATAATCCCACATGGTATTTAACAGCACTCTGATTTACCTGTATAATCGTGAAGATAATCGTGGTGCATAAAACAATATCATACTAAGCCACAAACATGCAAAACTTTCACTTCTTAATTGTGAGAAATCGGTTAACTATAAAGTAGTTCCTGCCCAACTAAGCTATAAAATGAAATGCTAAAAAGTCTTACTTCAATATATTCTCCTATTCTAACAGTTCAAAAAATCAATTTTCATTATTAGTTTTACGAAAAAAAGAGAAAATATTTGCATCAATAATTATTAGTCATGCAAAATAATTTCATTACTTCAACAGATTGCAGTTCTAGTATAGTTGGTAGGTGATAGTGAAACACCCGAAGTCAACACACCTCTGGAAGCTGTGTTCTCTCAAAGTGAAGCTTTGTCACTCTGTTCACGTTATTCCAGTTGCATGGAAAGAAAAAGCGGAAACATTTAAAAGCACTTTACCTGATTTCACTGATGACTTGAACTAATTGGTAGGTACATGGGAATATTACAGCCCTAATTCTAATTAAAATCTAATTTCCAAAGCCGGAAGTACTTTAAAAAATTAATTCTTTTCACAAAAGCCTAATTGTTCTACATTTAATCTAGAATTATTGTTCACTGTCATTCAATTATGCGCTTTTCTCTTCAATGGCTATTAGCATATCAAAATTCTACGTTTCCGCTGGGGAATCAGTTGGAAAAGTTAAGTTTAAGTGAGCTCTTTCGCTCAAAAGTTTGAAAAATAATGAAAAAAGGTATTCACTTCACGAGAGTTAATGGTACTCGTTAGGGAATAATTTTACCCGAAAGTGATTTCGAGCAAACGATTGTAGACATTGAGGTATAAATGCGAAATTCGTATTTGTTATCTTAGCGGCTGGATATAATGCGTTATTGGAAGATGGAGACATCGATGTTGTGTATCGAGCCTAACAAATATTTTCACTCAATTATCTTTTTTCACTGAGTTTAACAAAATTTGGACGGTAGTATTCCAGCAAATCGAAGTGAAATCACAGTCGCACAATGATATAAGGTCTTTAAAATAGTTCAACTTATTGCCTCTGAAAAGTCCTGACTATTTTGATCAATTTAAAGTTAAGATAGTTCCGTAAATAAAAAAATTTATAGAGACCAACATGGTAGGGGGGTTCTTATTTAATCAGAAGTTTAAGAGTTCGATTGAGAGTTACGAAATGCTGGACTATTGTAAGGATGAAGAAAAGGAAAGATCGAAGTATCAGTAAGATGGCCAAAAGGTTGAGAACTTTGTTTACTTAGTATGTCCAATAAGTAATCACTAAACAGATCAGATATGAAAATCAGCAAGCACGTTTCAAAAATTATGCAAAAATTTACCATGAAATATGAAAATATTCCGAAAATCACCGATATTGGAAACCGAATTTAGTGGCCTAACTTAATCCAAGCACTAAACCTGATTTTTTGTAAAGAATCATTTATTTATTTATTTCAAATGG